AATGTGGTGGTGTGTCTGTGGTGAGCCTGCACCCATCCTCATGGGTACCCTAACCGTCTCCAGATGGCTTGCAATACCCAATGAATACAGCCTAGGTGCTCTGTGGATAGGGGACTTGGGGAGAAGCGACAGGAAAAAGAAGTCTTCACGTGTTCAGTACAGACACAGCCTTTTTCTGAATATTTTTGATCTGTGGTTGTTTGAGCCAAGGTTGTGGAACCCACAGATACGCAGGGCTGGCTGTGCAAAGTAGTCATTAAAGCGTGTATTTCTAGAGGGATGAGGTGCTTTGGTATGTTGTGCAGATAGCAAAAAAAAAAAGCCAATATTCAAAGCATGAGTTCAGTTGGGTTTAAAATTCTTTTGCATAGAAAAATGACTATCAAAGATCTTTCTGTGAAAGCTGCTGGTGACTCACACCTGTAATCCCAGCTACTCAGGAGGCAGAGGCAGGAGGATCATGAGTTCAAGGCCAGCACAGGCAAAGTCCACAAGACCCTGTCTCAAAAACAAACTGTTTGTTTTTTTTTTTTTTTTTTTAAAGGACTGGGAGCTGGGCACTGGTAACTCACGCCTGTAATCCTAGCAACTTTGGGAGGCTGGTATAAGAAAGATCAAGGTTCCAGACCAGCCTGGCAAAAAGTTAGCAAGACCCCATGTCAGCCCCCAGCTGGGCACAGTGGTCTGTGTGCACCTGTCATCGCCCTGTGGGAGGCTATCACAGTTCCAGGCCAGTCCTGGCAAAAGAGTTCCTGAGACTCCATCCCAGCGTGGTGGCACACGGCTCACATCCCCACTACCACAGGGGACTAAAAAATAGGAGGGTCACAGTTGAGGCTAGCCTGGGCAAAAAGTGAGACCCCGTCTTTAAAATAACCAGATAAAATGGGTGTTAGAGCACCTGTCTAACAAGCGCGAAACCCCGAGTTCAAACCCCAATACTCCCCAAAAAACCAAAAAGTGTGTTTGATCGTGGTCTTACTGAGAGTGGTTCTGTCTGCCAGTGCAGTTTTGCATCTGGTTCCCAAGTTTAGTTTGTCTTTGCAAAACTGTCTTTGGTTTAAGCGTATGGGCGTGATGACAGCACCAGGTCTTGCTCAGTTGCTTTTTTGTGCTGGTCGTGGGCTGCCTTTGCTCCAGCGGTCAGGTGCAAATTCAGATCATTGCCAAGGCCCCAGCCGACGCTGGTCCTATGCGAGGCCTCCTTTGGCCTCTGTGGGAACCGAGATCCCCTGTGGATGGTGTCACCTCGACACAGAGGCCTCTGGTTCCAGCCTGGGTCTCTCCCGTGCCATTGCAGACCTCGCTTCCCACCGCCCAGTCCCTGGTTGTGTCACAACGCGCAAACGCTGTGAAAACAAGGCAGACAAAAATAACCAGAGGACTCGTGAGAGCTAGGGAAATTTGGATGACCAGGAGGACACATTTCCATCTCTCACAGCAGTCGTGAGCCTCAGAAAACACAATTCACAGTTTAAAAGGTAAATAATAAAGATTAGAATGAATTTAAACGCATACAGGCAAATGCCAGAAGAAATAAAAGCAGTCAAATAATAAGCCAAGATCATGTGACAGAAAAGACAGGGGAAGGAAGGAAGGGACTTGCTGATTTCATCCTTGTTCCTGGTGAGGGGATCTCAGATGTATAAAGAGGCTGAGGAGTTAATTATCATGACTCCCAGAGTAAGGACTAGAAGGATGGAAAACAGGTGACAAGCCTTCAGAGGCATCCAAAGAGCAGGGTGCAGGGACGTCCTGAGCGCTCGGCTAAGCTTCTGCATTCTTTGGTTTGTTTTGTTTTGTGGTGGCGCTGGGGTTTGAACTCAGGGCTTGCTTCATGCTTTGCTAGGCACGCCCTCTACCGCTTGAGTCACTCCACCAGCCCATAAGCTCCTGCATCCTCACGTGACCCCCAGGAAGCTAGGCAAGGGACCAGCGCCATCACCGAGGACAGGGGCTGCAGGAGCTGCGGGGGTCAGCAGCAAAGAGGAAGGCTTGGCGCTGTGTCCTGGCCACTGCTGCACTGCTCTGAAGCCATGAGCGTACCATACGATTCAAGCAGCGACAACAAATGTTTTAACAGAACTTTGAATGCCTTTAAAAAAAAAGGCAGCTTAACTCTAGAAGTTTTCCAAGATAAATACTCCATGACCAGAAGTGCTGCTCCCAGTTAGCTAACCTGAAAATCAGGTCATTTTCCTGGTCCCCAAGGGAGCAGGGAATTGTGGGGAAATATGTATTCCTGGGGACCCTCCCTTCCTTCCAGTTCCTTTTTGCTGAACTGGGACTCAAACCCAGAGCCTGTGCATGCTGGGCAAGAGCTACCACTGAGACTTGCCCCTTGCCCCAGGCCCTTCATTTTTTGCTATTTTGGGGTGGGGGGCATGGCATTGAGGTTTGAACTCAGGGCCCTGAACTTGCTAGGCGGGAATTATACCACTTGAGCCACTCCGCCAGCCCTTTTTTTTTTGTGATGCCTTTTTTTGAGATAGGGTCTCACAAACCATTTGCCCAAGACTGGCTTCAACCAGCGATCCTCCTGATCTCTGCATCCTGAGTAGCTGGGATTACAGGCATGAGCCACCAGTGTCCAACTATGCTTTGTTTTTGAGACAGGGTGTCGCTAACTTTGCCCTAGCTGGCCTCAAACTCAAGGTCCTCCTATCCACCTTCTGTGTGGCTTGGATTGCAGGTGCTAGAGTCACCTGCTCCAGCCGGATAGCTAAGTCAATGCACCTGACAAGTCAGAGTTGCCCCTGTGTCACAGCTGAGGTGAAGGAAGTTAAACCTTCACCCCAGCTCCTAGTGTCTGCCTCCTGTTCCTGTGCCACCTCTGTTGGGTGGTCACCATCCCCACCTGGAGCTACCATGAGAGCATTGGTGCCTGAGGGGACCAGGGGGTCCTCAGAATAAAAGTCCTCGAGAAAAATAACTCTGCAGACCCCCAGGACACCACGGGTGAAGGGACAGCTGGAGAAATGGCCTCCACCAGCTGGGAGGGTGGAGACCAAGTTGCGCTGCTGTTTGTGTCCACACCAAAACAAGAAATAGCCAAGTGATGAGTGTGTGTCCGTGCCAGCAGCCTGTGAGGTGTCACCTGTGCTCTCTGCCCCACACAGTTGAACAAACACAGGGTCAGAGAGGGGCTGTCACTTGCTTACCTCACAGAGTGGGGGCTTGGCAGGGCCGATTCAGCCCAGCCATGTGTCCTCTGAAGCACACGTCCATTCCGGCTCAGTGTCTGAGCCCCCTGACCTGCAGGGACGCTGTGAGGGCTGGGGTGCGGGAGATGGCAGGAGCCCCATGGCAGCTGCTGCTATGATGTCTTCCTTATTTTCAGGACACTGGGCATCCAGGGGTCTCCAAAGGCTCTCAGCTGGGTTCCCCAGGCACCCAAGCTGTAGGACCCACGGCCCCCATGACTGAGTAAGGGACAGAAAGGAGGAAGGGCAGCCAAGGAGGACTGGCTGGCCATCTAGTCTGCAGTAGGAAGGGACAGGCTTGTAGAACAGCACCCTTGCCAGAGGCCTGAGGCCAGCTGGCACCCACCCGAAACCCCAGACATCTGGTTCCCATGGCAGGGAGAAGAGCCCATCCAGCCGAGGCAGGGGAGCAGCCCTGACGGCAACCAGGGACCCTGAGGTCAGGGTCCTATGCACACCTGGGCCTCCAGGTGATGTCATTATGGACAGGCTGTCCCCCAGTCTGGATGGAGACCGTGATGGCCCTGGTGATGACTGACTGGGGCTGGGGCTGGGATTGACCATCAGGGGCTGACCTCTGCATGACTTGGCCTCTATCTGTTGGTCTGGGAGAGCTCATTCTGATGGGGAAATAACAGCACATCCAGCTGGGCACCCAGAGCCAAGGGCCAGGCACAAAGAATAAGCCAGGGGAACAGAGGGGCCTCACCCAAACCGAGGCCAGGATATCCACCAAGCAGGGCGGGATGAGCCAGGCCATCAGGAGGGAAGCAGAGCTCTGACCTTGCAGGTGGCACCCAGGAAGGCAAAGGGGGACCAGTTCCCTCTGCTGGTTCCAGGTCCCCGCCTGTGCTGCTGGTTTAACACAAACAGTTGGGCGACCAGCAGGCCGTGCCATTAATTGTTTGGATGTCACAGCTCCCCATCTTTAATCCGCAGCTGGACCACACATGGTCCGTGAGCCCAGAGGGGGTGAAGCCTGGCGCTGGCGTCCCAGGCTGGGCCTGGAATGGTGACAAAGCCTCCTCAGATACCAGTGGGCAGGCACCGGGGCCGCCTGGCCAGAGAGGTTTGATCGCCAATAACGTCTGATCAACCATGATCCCTTAACAATCAGGAACTTACGATCAGAGCCAGCCCAGCCCTCCCTCAACCAATGTCAAGCCGGAGGGTGATTATTTAACTAACTTGGAGCCTCCTTTCTGCTCGCCATGGCTGGAGGGGCTCCTGGAGGATGGTGGACGCTGGGGACACGAGATCACAGGCAGCCAGAGAAGAAGGGAGACGTGCAACAGTTGTGGGGCCAGTGTGACCGTCCTGCCTGCTGCAGGCGGCACCATTGCTGGAAAGACTTAAAGATGCTACGAGGGGAAGGTGCTGCCCTCCTGCCTGGGTGAGGAGGAAGGGCTCCATCACAGCAGGAGGGGATGGAGGGGACAGAAGGCAGGACAGCACAGCGCGGGCTCCCATCCAGAGCAATGTAGGCTCTGGTTCCCTGGCATTCTCCGAGTGTTCAGCCTGCATGGGAGATAGGAAACTACTCACATCTGGTTCTGGTGAAGGATGAAAAGGGAAGCAGGTTTCATGGGGGATTACACCCAGAGTCCCCTCCATTTGTCACTGATGTGCAGTCACCCACGGCTGCCCGCAGATACCGGGAAAGGACATAACGGCCGGGTTTGGGTTTCCAATCCAGAAATAATTACAGGGTGGGGAGGCCATGGGTTTTCTGGGCAAGTGAATGAACCAGTGGCTAAGAAGATGCTCTGTGTCCATCCCCCCGACCCCCCAGGGTACCAGATTGCCTACCGGCTAGCCAGCAGCAGCCCCCACACCTTCACCACCGTCGAGGTCGGCGCCACGGTGAGGCAGTTCACAGCCACCGAGCTGTCACCAGAGTCTGCCTACATCTTCAGGCTGTCTGCCAAGACCAGGCAGGGCTGGGGGGAGCCACTGGAGGCCACGGTCATCACCACTGAGAAGAGAGGTAAGCCTTTGAGGAGATCCAAATCCGACATCACAGGTGGCAGGTAGGGAGAGAGAAAGGGGCTGGAATGGGTGCTGTGACTGTGGAACACGTGGTCCACACAGCGGCTGGGAGGCTCAGAGAGGTTGTGTAACTGGGACAAGGTTGTACAGCATCTGTGGAAGCTCCTGAAAGGCAGGCAAACCAGGCTCTGAGATTTAAGACTATGTCCGCCGTGGGCAGGTGCCCAGTCAGTGTTTTCCAGACAGGTGGTCTCCTGGGAACTGTTGCCCGTGAACCCCTGCCTGCTCCAGGCACAAGGTCAAGTGTTGGGAGTGCTGCTTTGGCTGATCCATGAAGGAACACAGTATTCACTAACTCTACAGAGAGGGCATTAAGGAAATTGAGGTAGATTTGCCAACCTGACAGTTCACCAGGGCCTCAGGCCTCACCACAGAACGAACCTTCCCTAGCAGTCCCCGGGGAAAGTACGGGATTCACAGAGCCCTTGTCTAAGCCTCTTTGCCGGTGCTGACATCATGGGCAAACCCAGAAGTCTGGGGGACAGGACGGGAGAAGGAAACTCCCAGCTTAGCTGGTGATAAATGCCTGCAATGTGTCCGGCAGCTGTGTGGCTTTGAGGAAGTCCCTTCCCCTCTCTGTACCATGGCTGTGAACTGTAGGGAGCAGTCGTCAGGTGCCCAGGCCCCCTGAGTGACTCTCCGTCTTGCATTCAGGACTCCCTGGGAGCTGGAGCACCAGGATGGATGTGCCCAGTAGGCACAAGCTCGCACTGGCGGCTGGGTCATGAAATCTAGAGTAGAGCTGGACACGGTGTGTCCCCGTCATCCCGCTGCGCAGGAGGCAAGAGGCAGGAGAATCAGCTCCAGGCCCCGCTGGGGCAAAAGAACGAGACCCTAGCTGAAAAATGACTCAAGCAAAAGGTCTGGAGTGGCTCAAGTGGTAGAGCACCTGCCCAGCTAGCACGAGGCCCTGAGTTCAAACCCCAGCACTGTCAAAACAAATAAACAAAAGACCTAGGGTCGAGCATTTCAGGGACCTTGAACTGGGCCCTTGAAAAATGATTCTGACCTTAAATCTAGACGAGGAAGAGGCCAACACAGAACCCTGAGTGAGTCCAGCCACCCTAGCTAGCCTCCTGTCACTGACCAGAGACCTGTGTCCCAGTGACGGTCCTGACACCCGCCTGACCGCGGCAGTGGCTGTCTGCTGTCCACACTGCCGTGGTGCTGGGTCTGCTGACTTTGCTAACTTGAGGGACAGGAGGCTTCATGCCTCAGGAACCCAGGTTCCTCCTGACCTTGAAGTGGACGGAGGGGAAGGCCACTCAACGCTCAGCACCCCTTAAAGGACAACCTCGGCTCCCTGCGCCGACGGCCGGCCTGGTTATCAGCACCAAGTGCTGTGTGACCTTTCAGGAGGACATTAATGACTGTCCTGAAGCAAGCATGCTGACCTTCCTCCTGGGTGGGCACTGGCTATGCCCTCCTGTGAGCCTAGCCCAGGTGCCAGCGTGTCACCACCATGCCTGTGTCACCTTTTCCACACGTACTTTGTCCCTTATAGAGGACGAGCTTGGGCTCAGAGTGGTGAAATGACCGTCAGGCCCGTGACACTCAGCACAGGAGATCCAGATCCAGAAGATGGGGTGCCAGGCGGATCCCCCAGGGACTGCCAGCTGCAGCCTGGTCCTTACCTTCCTTGCCATTTGGGAGTGTGGTCAGGGTCTGGGGACAGCAGTCTACAAGCTACTGGCCTCTGGCTCTTACCTTCTTCCAGAAAACTGCTCTCAGGAGAACTCAGCACTTCTAAAGCAGAAAGTAAGATGGAAGCTTGCCGTGACACGAATTAGATCTGTTTATGGACAGACCAACGCAGCCTGGTCCACAGCTGGCCTGCTATGGAGGGCATGGGGGCCATCGCTCCACACCCGGCACCCACAGTCCCTTTGACCCTACGTTCTGGGGTCCAGAACTCAGTTTTCCCACCAGGCCTTCAAGCTGTCCATGCTCGGGCCAAGAGAGCCAGAGGTGTCCTGGCTGGGAGGACACCTTAGAAGCCGGGCACGTACCAGCCTCTTCCACCGGCCAGGAACAATCAGGCAGCAGGCATGCGTACCAAAGGCCAGGACTACTGATTAAGCCAGATCGAAGCGTCTCTCACAGGCGTGTCACTGCAAGCCCATAATCAATGGCTGCTTTATTATTACACGGCACACATTTTAATCAGAATCAATAATCTCCATGATAAACAGTTAAACAATTACTCCTCCCTCCGTGGAGTTTATTGAGTTTAGTGGGAGCACGGGGACATGGTGACAGACACTCGAAGCCCTCTGGAGGCCGGGGCTGACTCCATGGGCTCCCCACGCACCCTGTATCCCACCCCGGCAGAAGGCACCAGGACCTGGGTGTGCCCCTGCCCTGCACCTGCTCCCCAACCCTCAAGAGAGCCTAGAAGACGCGTCTCAGGTTGTTTGCAAGGGAAGGGTCTGTCAGGCTAACTGATAGATCGAGTCCCAAGTCCGAGAAAATACAAAGAAGTTGGGGTATTGGGAAGAACCCCAGCCGGTGATGGCTGTCATTCAGCCACCTGCGCTTGGTGGCCGGGTGGGGCCTGTGTGGGGGTTCACCTCTGCCTGTGTCTGCAGTGGGAGCCGGCAGGGTCCTCAACGCAGGCCTGAGGTGGTCAGCTGTAAGCCACCCGAGCTGAACCGAGGATGCACCTCTGGGTGTCTGGGCCATGTGGCTGAGAGAGGTGGCAGACATCAGCAGAGTCACAAGAGGAAGAAAGGAAAAACTGTAATTCAGCTTCCCCACTCCACTAATCTCTATTAAGATCAGGTCAGCAGAGCCCAGGGGCCGTCACAGGACGCTTTGACGTTAGCCAGGACCCTAAGTTTAATCTGCTCTTTACCCGAGAGTGACCCACACCTTAAATATCAACCAGCTAACAAAACACAGAGCCAGACCCAAGAGCACAGGTCAGGATTTGCAGCAGACATTCCCCTTCAATTGCAGCAGGACGAGTAGATAACTCAGTGTCTCTCTTACTTAACAAGACAGTGTCCCAAACCCAGAAGTCACCCCAGGAGCCACAAGGACCCAAAGCTGAGGGTTTCTCAATAAATATCCCAACTTTAAATCCCGACGCCTGAGGAAAGTGTGTTCCTTTCCTAATAAACTTTAACTGATTATGGCTGTGACCTCTGCGTCTTGCTTGAATCCTTCTCCTGCCAGACGCAAGAACCAAGGTATTTATCAGTGCTAATTGAAGAACCGGCTGGAAGCAGTGACAGCCACATCTCGTGTTCCTGCTGTGTCCTGTTTTGCTTACAGAGCGGCCAGGGCCCCCCAGAGAGCTCCTGGTGCCCCAGGCAGAGGTGACAGCGCGCAGCCTGCAGCTCCAGTGGCTCCCTGGCAGTGACGGGGCCTCCCCTATTCGCTACTTCACCGTCCAGGTGCGAGAGCTGCCCCACGGCGAGTGGCAGACCTACTCCTCGTCCATCAGTCATGAAGCCACAGCCTGCACTGTGGAAAGGTAGTATGGGGACCTGGGACCCTCCCAGCTCCAAGGGTCCCCACCCTGAGGGTCCCTGCCCTGGCCCTCTGCAGCCACAGTCCTGGGTCTGTGTGACTGAGGACACACCCAACTAGAGCCAAGCATCAACCCCGTGTACTCTCCCAGTGCCAGGGAGCTCTGCCTGGTCTGGCCTTCCAGGTGCACACTGCACAGCTGGTCTGCACGCCAGGCCCCTGGCTGAGCCTGGACACATGGTCAGACATCCCAGTGCTTGCAGAGGCCAGCGCTGGGGACAGGAGAAGGGTTGGGGGCAGGAGGCTGCTGGTGAGGGCCGGGGAGAAGCCTCTTCTCTCTGTGGTGCTCCTGGCCTGCCATAGGGATACTGACCAGGAGCTAGGTGGGGGCTGGGAACAGCTAGAACCGACCCCCTGCCCAGGCATGGGACACGAAGCAAGCAGGAACAAGGGTGGCCCTGCTGGGACATTTGGGGCTTAGGACGGCTTGTCCTGCCCCTTGCAGTGGAGGAACTGAGGCAGAGAGAGGCAAGTGATGCAAACCACCCAACTCGCAGGCCTCGTGAGGTCTCAGAGACCTCAGGCTGGGTTGGGTATGCAGCACCCCCTACCCAGGAGACATCCCACCCAAGCTCTTGCCCTTACTTCTGCCCACACACTGTGTGTGGCTCTCCAGGGCCTGGGCAGAGGGGCCTGGCAGTGAGGTCCTTGTCTCAGGCGTTCTGGAGTCCTCACCAGCACCCAGAGGAGGGCATGGGCCCAGACGCAGGTTCCCAGGCCAGACAGTACAGGCAAACCTCCTAAGTGGAGCTCCATGGCCTTCTGTGACCCAGCAAGGGAATGCTAGGGTTCCCGTTGGGAAAACCGGTCAGGAAAGCCACCCACTTGCCCAGGCCCCAGCCTCGCTGACAGGAGGGCGAGTGGAGCCTCCCAGATGAAGGAGGGCAGCAGGCCAGAGGTGAAACACCTGGGACCCCTCGGTCCTCAGGGACCCCCGCCCTGCCTGTGGGCCCAGGTGAGGCTTCAGAATGAGGGCCTGATTGGAGTGTGGGTGGCCTTTTTCTTCTCTTTCTTTTTTCAGTACTGAGGGTTGAACCCAAAGCCTCACCCATGATCAGAAGTCCTTTACCACTTGAGCCGGGCCCCCAGTGCTTTTGCTTTTGTGTTGTTTTGGACAAGCTCTCGATAACTTTGCTTGGTCTAAAAAGTCGTGGTCCTCCTGCCTCTGCCTCCCAAGTAGCTGGGATTGCAGGCATGCACCACCATGCCCAGCTGCTGTGACTGTTTCTTACATGTGTCAAACAGTGGAATCTCAAAAAAAGAAGAAGGGACCCTCAAGGTGGAGGACCAGACGTAGGACAGAGGCACAGGCACGGGCAACACCCTCCTCTGTCACCCCCCCCTCCCTGGAATGCCGCGACCGGGGCGTCACCTACACCTCTGTCCTGTGTCTGGTCCTCCAACCCACGCTTGATTGAGTGGCCGCCGAGCTGGATTAACAGATTAAATAACCTCGTCTCTTTGTGCAGCCATCTGAAAGAAAGAAAGAAAAGTCCAGCCAGGTTTTCTGGAACCTTCTGAGCTCACACAGACAAGTGCATGCTTGGGACCAGGTGCTGGAAAGGAGAGGCTGTGTGTTGTCCATTTCCTAGTGGACACGAGGGCTGGGGGCAGTGCCCTGCCTGTCCATGGAAAGCTTGGGTGTCTCAGCATCCTGAGGAAGCCACCTGGTTTCCATTGGGTGGCAGTGTCCCCCTTGCTGGTCAGCAATCCTGTCGGCTGCATCTTACTTTCCAGTCACACGCCGTGTCCTAGTGGCCAGGAAGGACGAGGAGCTTGGCGGTCTCTATCTGCTGCTGTGACCATCTCATGACAGCGGGGCGGAGCGCTGGCTGGGGACAGGGCTGGGTGCACACCTGTTGACGTCACCGGCTCCTGGCTGATGGCCGAGGTTGGGAGACAGGGAGCCTGGCACAGAAACACAGTGGCAAGGAGAGCGCCATGTGGACTTGGGGAAGGCCGGTGGCCGTGGAGCCCCAGGAGGGCTGTGTGCCTGAAACCAGGGGACTCTGCCTTTCCCCTGAGTGCAGCACTGAGTCCCCTGGGATGGATCCGAACCCAAAGCGTAAGGGCAGCAGAGACTGACCAGGCAAAACACAGCGTTTGGTGACAGCCAACAAGCAGGCTGGCCCTCCCTCACCAGGTCTTTACTTCTCAGTAATTTTCAAGGACACTGACATTTAAACATCCCATAAGTTTGGCCAAGGTGTTATGCCTGGAGTCACTCTTCTTTGTGGCACAAACGAAGATTTCTTGTTTTTTTGCGGTACTGGGGTTTGAACTCAGGGCCTACACCTTGAGCCACTCCACCAGCTGGGTTTTTTTTGTTTTTTGTTTTGGTTTTTTGTGTGTGTGATGGGTTTTTTTGAGATAGGGTCTCACAAATTATTTGTGTGGGCTGGCTTTGAACCTCGATCGTCCTGATCTCTTCCTCCTGAGCAGCTGGTTTTACAGGCGTGAGCCATGGCACCCGGCCACAAATTCTTAATAAATAATTTCAAGGCCTTCTATTTACTTATAAATAAGAGCAGCAGTGGACAGCTTTTAGCATGTCCAGGACTCCCTCATCTTGTACTGTCACCAAAATGAATGAGTGACCGTGCAGAGTCCTTTCTAGTGATGAGGCTGCATTTTGCTCTGAGGGAGGACACTGAATGGAGAGCCAGGTCCAGTCCCTGTCATGTGCAGGTCACGTGTGCAGGTGACCAACAGTCAAGGCCGTACCGGTGCAAACGTGCTTTCTATGTGCACTTCACTCTTGATTTTGGAGAGCCGGGGTTCTGACAGCAAGTTTGAATGTCCAGTTTGGTCATTTTGTGAGTGTTGGTTGGTGAGAAGGAAGTTGGGGACGGGTGTAATCTTGAAAATGGATCTGGGTCTGTCAGTTTCTGAGTCTGCATAGCAGGAATCGAGAAGGTGAGGTGTGTGGGGTGTGCAAAGGTCCTGGGGTGCTCCCCACAGCACTGATAAATTTCACAGGAGAAAGCAAGAACACCAGAGGCAGAGGAGTCAGAGAAAGACCAGATAGAGAAAGTCACATTTATTAATTGCCTACTGTGTGCTTCAAATACGTAAAGCAAAACCTTACATACCTGGGGCTGGGGCATGGCTTGAGTGGTAGAGCAAGTGTGAGACCCTGAGTTCAAACTCCAGTACCACCAAAAAAATAAAAACATTACAGCTTTATATAACTGAAAACAGAAACAAACACATTTTCAACTGTGGCTGAAGATGTCAACACTCCCCTGGGGTGGGCTGTGTGATTTAATTTCACCTCAGTCCTGGAGCCACAGGTGCTGCTGTGATCTGCATTTTGATAGGATGAGGCCCATTAAAATTCAAGACTTGCCCCTGTGAGTAATGGCAGAGCTTAAATTTGAATTCTGCTGGCTCACTCCAAAGCTGAGGCTCGGTTGTCCTAAAAAAGTGAACAGAGGACAAAATGTGTAGTGTGGTGTGTGGGGGGGGTTAGGATTTGAAGGACTGAAGGAGTGGGTTCCAGGGTTGGTTCATTCTTTTGTTCATTTCAAAAAAGTCACCCTTGAGGCCAGATGCTGTGGCTCACACCTGTAATCCCAGCCACTCTGGAGGCAGAGCTCCGGAAGATGGCAGAGGTTTGAGGCCAACTTGGGCAAAAAGTTAGGGAGACCCCATCTCAACCAATAAGCTGGGTGTGGTGGGCACCCCTGTCATCCCAGCTGCATAAATAGGATTGTGGTCAGGCCAGTTTGGGCAAAAACTTGAGACTCTTATCTCAAAAATAACTTAAAGCAAAAAGGGCTGGGAGCATGGCTCAAGTGATAGAGCATCTGCCTACCAAGCATAAGGCCCTGAGTTCAAATCCCCATACTGCAAAATAAATAAAAGTCCTAGAAGCCCTGGCCTGGTGGGAAGTGGGGTGGGCTGTGCCTTCTGGAAGTTGACCAGCCATGGAGGGGAGCGGCTCAGCAGAGCGGAGGGAGCTGGGCAAGTGTGCACAGGCAGCGCAGCCAGTGACCAGCTGGAGAGGCTCCTGGCTTGGCGCCACACGGAGAGGTCTGCCCTGCAGATCAGCGCGGTCTGCTGCGCTCAGATCCCCGACAGTTCACCCATCTCCATGAGTGAAGTGAGCCTGGCAGTCAGGCCTGCTGCTGAAAGTCCTCTTCCTGTGCACCCAGCCCCGTGTCTCTCAAGCCTCACGCACACCGCTCAGGAGGGGTGGAGAAAGTGTCCCAGGCACACAGTGTGGCCCCAAATCGCTAGAGACAGAGACACCCTCCCCCACGTGCTCCGTGCCGGACACGTGTCACCTTGGTCCTCTCTCCGGGAGGCTTCGGGGCGGCATTTGTTCATTCCCGTAAGGAGCTGTGACTGAGCGCCCCGGGTGCCAGGCACAGTTCTTATGTGGGATCATGGTGGGAAACGAGGTTCCTGTTCTTGCGGATGTTGAGTCTTATAAAGTGACCAAGAAAACAACTAGAAAGCCGGGCGTGCTGTCTGTCGTACACCTGTAATCCCAGCTATTCAGAAGGCAGATATCAGGAGCCTCACAGTTTGAGGCTAGCTTGAGGAAAAAGTCAGCGAGACCCCCATCTCAACAAATAAACTGGATGCTGGTGGCATGCATCTGTAATCCCAGCGACTCTGGAGACATAGGTAGGAGGGTCGTGGTCCAAGGCTAGTCCCAGGCGAAAACATGAGACCCTATCCCAAAACTAACTGAAGCCAAAAGAGCTGGGGGCATGGCTCAAGTGGTAGGGCGCCTGCCTAGCAAGTGCATGGCTCTGAGTTCAAATCCCAGGACTGCCACAAAAGAAAAAAAGCTGTGATAAAGATGACAAAGGAAGCAAATGGTGTGGGACAGGTGGCAGGGGACAGTTAGCTATTTAAGCTGACACCTAAAGGATAATGATACCGGCTGTGTCAAGTGAGCACTTGCTCCTAGGTGTCTCTCCTGATCTAATCCCCACAGCAACGTCACCTGTGCATCTATCAGCTGACCAGGGACCAAGTGGCCTCTCCAGAGCTGGCTGGGAGCTCTAAGGGGCAGTGTGACTTCCGAGTCCGTGATGCTAGGGTCCAGCCTGGCCACCTCCGTCCCCAGGAGGAAGAGACGCAGCCAACTGTGCAAATGCAGGTGGCCTGGGTGGGTGAGGCGAGCAAGCCACAGCGCACTTGTCACTGAGGCGAGACACAGTAGCTTCCAGGAGGTCGGAAAAGTGGAACTCATTACTTTGAACCAAGCAACTGCTGTCCCCAGAAACCTGTCACAAAGATCTTTCTCCACGGTGCAGTGTCTCTGATAAGCTGAGTTAAGCCAACCGAGGCCAGGCTCCTGGTGGCAGCTGCTGCCTGTGGACTGCAGCCAGGTTGCTAGGGACCCAGGGAGCAGCAAGGCAGGTTGGTTCTGGGGACTTGGAGCCCGAGCACCTCGGAGAAACACTGGGTCCGTCTCGAGCAGGAGGGTGCGTGAGACCCGGGCCCAGAAAGCTTTTCTGAACATTGTTTCCAAAAACGGTGCCAGTTTTCTAAAATCAGAGTCAGTTTCCTTTAACCAAAGTACTTTGTATTTCCCAGAGTGGACGTGTCAGCCAGATGGTAGCTCGGTGGCTGTTGACTGAGGTGGGTGGCACAGGGCTTGACCCTTAGGGGGTCCTTCAGCCTCAGGGTTTCCATAGACTCCGTGCACAAGACACTGGTTTACAGAGAGGCCTGGCTGTGAGGAGTGAGGATCGGGGCACCTCAGGGACAGCGTGGGCTGTGGGGGACCTGGGGCTCCAGGGCCCAGACTTGCTCCATGTCCCTGGCCTGGGAGACAGAGGTACCCGGCTGCTGTGGACGAGGGGAGAAATGTGACCGCTTCCCTACCAGCTCACCAGCAAGCAATGTCCACGGAGCCTGCGTGCTTGTCACTCACGGGCCGGGGTTGTGTAAAGAGGGGAGGTCGTCTGCCCAGAGGGGCCCAGGTCCCCGTGTGAGGTGTGATGGAGGCAGGCATAGAAGACACCATAGACACAGGGGGGATCCACGGCTGGGAATGAAGGGGAGGAGGCAGAGCGGCAGGGAGGCTGGAGTGTGGACCCCAGGCCATGGTCGGGGCATCAGTGCCCTGAAATCCAGTCAGGGGACTGGGCATTTTCATAGGGACACTGACGTGGACGTAGCAGTCTTAAGTGATGTGAGAATTCGGCTTCACGGCAGACCCTCCGCCATTACCATCCCAGCCACATTTACTCGAGTTATCCGACTGGGGCTCTGTTTCCTCATCCTTTTGACAGTACTGGGGTTGAACTCAGGGCTTCTCTCTTGCTAGGCAGACGCTCTACCTAGCACCCTCAGCCCTTTTTGCTCTGGTCATTTTTGAGATAAAGGGTCTTGCTTTATGTCCTGGCCTGGCCTGTCTGCCATCCTCCTATTTGTGCTTCTCTGTGTAGCTGGGATGATAGGTATGAACCACTGCACCCAGCTGTTGGTTGAGATGGGGTCTCATGAACTTTCTTCCACAAACCTCCAAATCTCCACCCCCTGAGTAGCCACCTGTGAGCCACCTGTGCCCACTTTGTCTTCTTATTCTTCACATGGGCAGCAAGGATGACCTCAGACTGCCGAGCCATTGTGCAGGCTGGATGGGATTGTGATTTGCCAAAGGCTCGGCCCAGTATGGGTTCAGCCTGTGGCAGGAAAGGGTCCAGCTGAGCCCACCTAACCGGGGCGGGAGTTGACCTTGGTGAGCCCAGCAGGGTGGCTGGTCAGAAGCAATGGAGGAGGGCGCAGCAGGTGCTCTGGATCAGCGGGAGGCTGATGCAACGCAGTCCTCCCAAGAAACACGAGTCCCTCCGAGAGCTGAGACTCATGGGAGAGCCTCCCAATACAGAGCCAGCCCTTCTCCCTTCTGCCTGAAGTCCCCTCTGTGAAGTGTCAAAATTGTGTGTCCATCCATCATCCCCACCCAGCTCTGCACATCCCTCAGGGAATGAAGACTTTCCAGGGTGTTAGCGGGTCCAAACAGACCTCGCGTCCCTTAAAGGCCCTGTCACTGCAGCTGGAAGTGGCTTAATGCAGACCCCAAAACACTTCCGAGCTGCCCAGTGGCCCGTCCCGGCTGGCACAGGAGCCTGGCACTCTCGGGGAGAGAAGCTTCCCTGGGAGCACAGCAGGGCAGGACAAGGTGGCAGGTCCCCGGCAGTCACAGGTCTCTCTGCACTCCAGGCTGAGGCCCTTCACCTCCTACAAGCTGCGTCTAAAAGCCACCAACGATATTGGGGACAGTGACTTCAGTTCGGAGACAGAAGCGGTCACCACACTGCAGGACGGTAAGCCATTGCCCAGCGCTGCCTCCGAAGCCGGGACACTTGCTCCAAGACAGAGCTCCCTCTTGTGTGGAGAGCCAGGAAGGCGCTTCCCTTAGTAGCTGAGGCCTGGAGTGCTGTGTGCGCCCTGCGGGCATAAGTCAGGGCTTGGGGCTTCCAGATGGAATGGGACCGTCTCCAGTTGGCCTCCAATCCCCTACTGTCCATTAGAGCCCCAGAAGTTGGACAAGGTTAGTGCCACTAGAAAGAAATGTCAGTGGTGGCGGGGCAGAAGAGCCCCCCACCACGTCTCATTCACGGGCTGCCAGCAGCACAGGTGGGCGATGGGGAGGCAGCTGTCCTCAGAGCGCCAGGTGGGTTTTCCTCCACGTTCTGCCCGAAGAGCCTTTGTAACCGTCAGCGGGCTGGTCCTGCCGGCCGCAGTGAGCCCTGGAGACAGCTCATCAGATGTGGCAGCCAAAGCCTGACCTGTGGGCTGGAAGAGCACTGGCGCTGGGTAACGGGCAGACCCACCCGAAGCCTGAGCTTCTTCGGGGCCTAGTTCACCCAGCGGTGCTTTTAACCACTCCCCACGCAACCCCAGACCTTTGTCTTTGCCACTTAGCTTCCAATGCTGCCATGTTCAGATAAGCATCTTCCAGCTGGCCTCCCCACCACCTCACATCTTCCAAGCTGCTCTTTTCAGAACCTGCAAGTTGCGTTTCTGCTACCCAGGGCCTCCCCTGATCGCAGGGCCTAGGCCCAGGAGTGAAGAGAACCTTTCTTGGCTTCCCAGAAGGGATGATTTCTGCTCAAAGCCAGTAGGTCATGTCTGCTGGGTTTGTGCCCTGGTGAGAGGGGCTTTGAGCCCCCTCTGAGCCCTCCCACCCCCAGGCAGCCAAGTTCTCAGCAAAGCCAGGCCCGCCCCAGAGAAATGGCTGCACCCACACCCCAACTATTTCCTGTGCGCTAATCCTAGGAGTTTTTTAGAGACCAGAGAAGCAGAGGGGAGGAGAGAAGTCTGCGGAAGACCAGCGCAAGGCTGGGCCCAGTGACTCAGAGGCGCAGGGGCTCTGCAGGGTGCAGGGAGCAGGGTCAGCTCCAGGGAGCTCTGCAGGCTAGATCACTGAAAGCAGGGGCCAATGTCACCTCTAGCCACAAGGAGAGTCTCATTGGAACTGAAGTCCCAACAAGAACTGGAAAGGCATTCATTTTAATCTACATGAACATAATGCAGCTAGAAAGACACACACACAACAAGCCAGGTGGTGTTACGGTTGTGTTACCTCTGACACACCGAGCACAAGAGTCTATAGGCTCTCTGTGATTTTAGGGAATGAGCTGTTTCTATTCAAAAGACTCTCTAGGCCCTTCTTCATCCTTTGATATTCAAATCAGGGCTTTTACAGACCCTATCTTATCATCTGCCTTTCCTGAGACGGGTAACATGTCTTTGCAGCCCGTTTTGCATTGGGTCTGGGTGGCCTGGTCTCCCCCATGGGCTGGAAATGGACAGGCAGAGTCCAGGACTGCACAGGGAGGGGCTGAGTTACATGGATGCTTACAGCTCTACAGTTTTTGTGGTTGTTTGCAGAACTGGGGCTCAAACCCAGGGCCTTGTGCCCACTAGATAAGCGCTCCACCATTGAGCTGCATCTCTTTTCCTTGGTGGTTTTGAGACAGGGTTGTGCAGTGTAGCCCAAGCTCCTACTTCTGCCTCCCCACGTGCTGGCATTACGGGTGTTGCCATCACGCCTGGCTCAACCTTTTCTTAGTAGGGTGAGTCCTTATTGGCCTGAGGATGTTGGGAGCCCTTGCCTTGTTGCTGGCTGGTCTGAGGGGCTGTCAGGAAGCTGGATAATGGCCTACTGTGAGGACAGACCCCAGAGGGTGGAGGTCCACCTGTGTGGGGGGCAGCTGAGAACTGGGGCGTGGGTGAAGGTGAGATTGACACGTCCAGAGGAGAATCACAAAGAAGAGACCCAGGAACAATGAGTGAGCTGAGGGAGTGTTCAGGGACACACTTGGGCATGTGGGGAAATGCCCCATATTCCTCAGCTCTGTGAGCATTCACTGCATGGGCCAGCGGGGAGACAGGTCACTGAAGTGTGCAGAGTCCCCACGGTCCAGAGGGAGCAGAGGATGAGAAGAAGGATTCTGCTTCGGCCAGAGGACAGGGCTCACCTCGGGGGCAGAGGTCAAACCAACCTTGTGCCCTCAGAGACCAGAGTGAGCCACTTCAGCTTCCTGGGCTGTGGCCAGCAGCAGCTTCCCCAGAAATCTGTCCCTTTCCCGACAGTCACATTAATTTCAAACCCACTGTGGCCTGGTGTGGCCTCTCTTCTGCTCAGGAGAAGCTCTTACCTAAGGCTATTTGACCTCTACCCCCAAAACATCTGGGAATACAGGAGGGGTTCAGGCAGGGGGATCCCGGGGGCGCTGTGGTTG